CGTGGTTGTGCTGTATCAGATATGTTTGATCATTACTGGGTTCCACGTAATATAATGTTAGATTTGGGGAATTTGAACTCGCTAGAGCAAAGAGATATGCTTGTATGGTCACTCATTGCAAAATCTGTCTAAAAAATACGGTCCATGATCCATTATATGCACAGGGTAACTTGATACTTGAGAATACCACACGGTGCATGGATGACTATAATTGTTCTTCCGCATCTTCAACACACACACTGCAGCCGTACAAGTAGCCCTTTTTGACGGTTCCGAGGGGGGAGGGGGAGGGGGCTCAGCACCAAAGCTGCTCTGAATTAACACAGAATTGCTATCTACATCACGCACCCTGGGTGATCAGTCTATGTTAGGAGGCTGGTTGGGCTATGACAATAGGGTTACCGACCGAATGTAAAAGAATGCTGTAAGAAACTTAACGTCGTTATATTTACCGTGTTTCTCTCCACTAGTCCAACGTTTTTCGAGCAAGATCTCGGAAGTGAGACAAAACTTGTGGATTTGTGTGGGCTACTTTCATCCAAGACTGTCGTGAACAGTTGAACAGTAGGAGTTGCGCTCATATCACTGTCTCTGCAATAGACCTCTTTCTATATTGATGTGACTATTCTGGTTAATTTACACTAAGAGAGCAAGCGGTGAACTCCAGTTCCACTCTTACTAGAGCTTATAATCAGTCCGTAAAATCTTCATTCTTCGACTCCTGTAAAAAATCAGAGAGCGTGGGTTCAAAGTACAGTAACGGGTACTACCCCTTACTGAATTCTTAGGTCTTTTCTCACTGACTAGCGCAGTCTTGAGGTACAAAAAATCAGTTTGCGTTTTTTCCTTTTTTCTCTTCAATTTTCTCCTGTACGAGTATAAGCTGACATGGATATCTCAGATCTTGCTTCCCCATACACGATGGCCGTTGGCAAGGTCTCCACAGATAGGACGTTGGTTCAAGTGGCACAAGTCGTCGACAGTATGTAGACCAATACTTTCGACATCCGATTACGCTAATCGATATTTAACTGATCTCAACAGCGACGCACAATGCCCTTGTTGCACTTTTCCTCCCATTGTTTGCCATTATTTGCACGTAGTTTTTCAACCACTGGTATGCATATGAAGTCCGGTTGTCCATTTGTACTGGTCTGGCGATGATCCCTGGCCTGATGCTTTTCGTGATCCCTCAATAAGACCGTTATCACCACTGTCACCTCTTAAGTTGCGTAACAGGTCAAGTTGAGCGTATACTTTAGTGAGTCGTTTAAGCGGATTGCTGGGTTCCTTCTCATTGGGCCACCCAACTGTACCTTCCCATCGAAACAATACGGATACTATGTAATACGGAATTCGCCCACCCATCGTGGTAGCCTTGTTCCGTGGTCCTAACCGCACCCGTGCGAACCGAGCTTGGGTATGAAGGAACTCAGGCTAGCGTCGCTGTTGATTTACGTTGATTGGGCTTGAATAAAGAAAAGAAAGCGTTCAGCTGTAGCACCCTTCCGGTGCCTAGCTGCCATGCCACCCGAAGGAAGCACGAGGGATGGGATACTGCCAGGTTGCCCAAGCCTAGACAAGGGAAGTCGAGTGGCGGAGGTCGGATTCCAACCACGGACCTTCCGGTCAGTAGATTCGCCCTCTAACCACTTGGGCCATCTCGTCCCGAGTGCTTGAATGCTCCTCCTTGATAGTTTTCTGCTCAAACTTTGCCTCCCATGATCACTTTGCTGAGACCTTTTCGTTCCTCTGGATTTTTTAAATAATAGTTTCTCTTGTTCTCAGGTGCCACCACTTCTTGACTGTCGTTCCTGTAGTTGAGACAAACTAACCGCTTGTCTCAACATATTAACCAGATATTTCAACAACAATTGGTTGCACTATGCGAGCGGGCTGATTGGGGGCCTATCGGTGCCGTTCAGCAACAGAGCCTATGTTATCCTGTTTTTTTCCATAGCGTAACTCAGAGGCTCGGAGAATACAATCATCGCACTCCAAGATACTGATGGCTCACTTTACCTTTTTGCCTTGTGGCTCTGATGCACGAACAGGTAGTACGTAGGAACGTGGGTTGAAACAATCGGTTGGAAAGTCCCACACCGCACCAAGGATGACAATTCAAATTCCCTCACGAATCTTCAGCCTGCCCCCCATTTTTTAGTGGCCGACAGTGTGCATGTATTTTTTCGTACAGTATACGGAAATCCTTCTCTTTAGCACTCGCTGTATCTGGAATAAACACCGTAGGCGGCGTTGCACTATTTACGTTCGTCGGTGCGCCTATACCTCATCCTCTCATCATCACTGTCATCAGTCCATCGTATGTCACATCCTAAGAAGTCACTGGACTTTATATGTAAACAAACTCCTCTTGGCCCAACTCGACTGTAGAATATCGTATAGAAGTCTTGTCCAAAAATGTCACAGTGTGCAGGTGTCAGCTCGAGATAATTCAGTAGTTAATGTGCGAACTTATTGACCAGAAAGTCCGTGGTTCGAACCCAATCTCTGCATCTCGACTGCTCCTTTCTAGGCTGAAAATATAATCAGCTTCGCTTGTTATTCATACTCCATCAGAACTGCTCTCTGGAGCACGTAAGAATCTCTCAGAGAAGATTTACCGTGGTCACACTCGCCGACCGATTAACTTGGCTAACTGGTCTACAGATAGCTTTCAAACACTGGTAGCGTTTGAGACCTGAGAAAATGAGTAGCATGTCTGTCGTAACTTTTGGTTTAGTTAATAATCCTGTGATAGAACTTCTGGATTTACTGGCTGTCCAAATATTCATAATCGTTATAGATTTCCTTTAATCGATCATCCTGCTTGCCCTGCACACCTACGCTACTTGGACACGCTGCATGTCATAAACGTAATTGATCTTCTTGCTGAGTAACAGCTTACCATGATATAACTGACCCGAACAGGATACACTGGCGGATGACCCTTGATACTCCGTATAACTTTGGCACATTCCAGTTGAAAGCCAGTGGAGATTATCAGGTTTCCTAGGGACTGGTGAGACATGCTACTGTGTGGTGGCATACTTGATGCGCTGGGCACTTGATGGGATTATTTCACCTGTTCAAAAGTGCCTACAAGTTTCGCATTGTAGCCCTTCTATTGAATCCATCAAGCTTTTCGCTCTTTGCGGAAACCCAGTTTTATCTGGCGTTGGATGATGCACTGAATTTGGTTGTGGTTGCAACCAGAAGGAATCTATTGCCAAACCCCCAACAAATTTACGGTTCTCTCAGACATCTAACGCTTGAGTTAGGCCGGCTGGATGGGTAGGGAGAAGTTTTAGCATCATGTACAGCTTTGGATATCTCGCTCCAGCAAAAGTTTATACATATAACATAACAATATTATGTATATAAATATATAATATGGGGTCGACAGGCAGGCGTTGGAGGAACAGGTTCTGTCTGATACGCTTGTTTGAAATCACGATCTTTCAGCTTCTCAATAGCTGCGGGGTGTGTGCTTCTGCGTAGACCTGAAAAGTGTAACGAAGGGAGATTGACTTCTCTTTCTCGAAAATTTTTTTTACAGAAGTTGCCAAGCGAACCACTCAGAGGCCTTTAATTAATGGGTATCCAATTAAATAGAAACGCTCAATACAACAACCACCGCGGCATGTCCAGCTCCATCAGCCTTTGCATTAGCAGAGATGCGTAACCGAAACCTGAAAGAGAGTGAGGGGCCAGTCAGTTCAGTTACAGTACTTGCATCCTGTATCCTTGTTTCTGACAACATAAATAAATACAGGCCGCCCAGTGTACTAGCAAGAGCCTCTTGTTATCCTGCTTGCTTCAGTTTGCGAACATTAAAGGCAGCTAAGTAGACCGGCTTTCAGGGTTCGAAAACAGACTTCGAAGTGTTTAGGATTGTTATTAAAGTCAGACTTACAGAACCTGCAGCTGGGTGTGATGCACGGCGAGCATAGCGGTCAGTCATTGTGCTGGGACCTGCAGAGAGAGTATTCAAATTTGCCCGGAGTAGGCTAGAAGAGGGATAACGTTAAAGTGCAGGAGGTGAGGAGTCAGTAGTAGCAAGTTTTCGCTTGTCTGCCGTGCTGTATGCTGCGGGTGATGACACTACGTAACCGCTGATGTTGCATGAGAGCGTTGTTAGTTGTAAGTATCATTGTTGTATATATCCTGGGATACTGATAGGGTGTCCAGACGTGGATAGGAGGACGATTACGGTCCTCGACCAAAGTCTTTGGCTCAGAAGCCTGACTATAAGGCAGTGGTATCTGGCAGAAAACACAAGTGCAATACCATCTTTGTGGAACAAGTGGCCGCACATGTTTTAATCCCCAACCTGTAGCTCCAGGAGACTGTGTTGGTCAAACTAACCATTGACCAACCTGGCATGCGAGCATGTGATTGTCGCATGGACACCACCCACCATAGCTCAATGAGTCACGGAGACACAAACTATCACACGATAAAGTCCGGCCTGTTTGGGACGGAGTGACTGGTTCCTGTCGTATTTGTTTTGGACTCCACTTCGGTTCAAAATGCTAAGCTTATTAGTGTAGCGGGAAATATCTTGGGTGCAATGTACAAGATTGACATTTTGTATAATACACAAGGTACCAGTGTTAGTGTTGTATTAGGAATCTACCTAAGTGTACGCAGTGTGTACACAGTAGTTCTAACCTTCCATCCATTGTAAGGAGATTTGTCTGAGGTTGCCTTTCGTTTTCCAATGAGCATCTGCTATATCCATCCGTCCCCCCGGCCATCATGTGACCAAGGGTTTACGGGAGTGCTTACTCAGCGCCCTTCTGTGAACCACAACCAACGTGATTTCCCCTATGCTACGGTATTTTCAGGGTTTCTGTGGTTGTCTCATTTAGTACCTTCTGTATACAAAACCGTATTCCCTTTCTGACTGACGGTCTTCATACCCCAAAATACTTTGTGTTGTCGATCGCCACTTCAATGAATTGACTATTTTCCTTTTCAGAGTTGTTTCTCAACCGATGAATCCATCTGGTAGTCACCCAGCTGATGCGTTCACTGGGGCCTCATTGCCGTTCGAAAGGAATTCGTCTCCACCGGCGCGTCCTCGTGATGCACCCAAATTAAATCAGGTCGCTGGGTCTAAGGGAGCCATATCCGACCGCACAAAAATCTTCAAACAGGATGCTAAACCCAATTTAACTCAGGTGGCCAATGAATATGCTCGTCAGCAGCAAATGTTTGGACTTACCGGCCTGCCTGTGAAGCGAAAACGTGGAAGGCCGCGCAAATATACCACGTTGACTGTTTTTCAGACGCCACCGGCCACACGTTCTCCCCAGCATTCCGGCGTTTCCACTGCACGAAACAGTATGCCTTCTTTTTCCTACACTACGGCCACAGCGGGCTCACAACCCATACAGTCAGCAACGACACCAACCATTGCTTCTTCAACCGTCATGCCCACTCTTTCAATCTATACACCCCTTACCGTGGGCGCTCCTCTGCCTGGACTTTATTCAGCTGGTCTGCTTCTTCCAGGCCCCAACATGCCTTTGAATAGTTTGGACACAGCTGTGGCACGAACGGACTCCCCAGTTACAGGTAATGTGGATTCCAGTTCCACAAGTTATACCTTAGCGATGACCGTGTCTAGCCAACATTCGGGAAGCACTGAACCTGCTGTTGCCCGATCGCCACAGGCCCTCGACTCGACGCCACAGCATTCGAACAGCAGCCCATCTAGTGTACCTCCCGGTCTCCCAGTTGACCAGAACTCATCTTCGTGTGATGCCTGTTCTGCACACACCCTCAGTGGTATGAATCCTTGTGTTGATTCTTTTGTGGGCTCTAATGTCTCTGCTTGCTCCGTTACCAGCTCAACGTCCGTCTGCAAGTTTTCCGGCTCTTCCGTCATACCTGGGTGGTGCAACAATTCAGGCACAAGTACTGCCACACCAACAGCGCTCTGTATGTCTCCGCACGTCTATCTGGATCCAAGCCGACCTGCGCCATCGGTGATGGATGTATGCCAATCAAACAGCGGTACTGATTTTCCCATTAATCCCTGTTCTGGTCGAAGTGAGTTGGATCTAATGACTCGTCTTCTCCCTCAAGCTACCGCTGCCTTACGTGCCTCAAAGGGAGCCGGTTTGTCTGGTCCGCACTCATGGAACGTGGATATGGTGGGAAGTTTTATTGGCACGCTTCCAGGCTGCAAGCAGTTTGCATCAAAGTTCACGGAAAACGTAAGTTTTTCAAATGTCTGCACGGTTAAACCATTTGCCCTATCACAGCCAAAACCCAACATATCCAGATTAGATTACAAGTGCGTGTTTGGCAGATTCAGTTGCAGTATTAACTGAAACCACCCTTTACTGATCTAGGTGAAGACTGAAAAAATGGTGCGTCGGAAATGAGCATGAGAAATCAGTTTCAGTACTGTATGTTGAAGCTATTTACGGTTTCTTCACAATTCTCTGAGGCAAGCACCATCATCTAAATCATCATGAACCACATCTCATCATTTATAGAAGAAGCCTTCGAGAAGTACACTTTATTCTTCGGCCCCAATTCGTTTCTGCTTCCGGGCAACGGAGGCTCCCCGAAGGAACCATATTCCCGAGACGATCATGGCCTATTGACAAGAAGGCGAAATATAAGCTAAACAGAGGGACACTTTGATCAGTTCGTGACTAGAGTCGTACTCTGATATGCCGTTTGTAATGCAAGATCTTTTGATCCGTGCTATGTTTATCTGTCTACCCTTCATCAGGCAAGGGTAGAGAATCAAAGCACATAAGTTCGTCAAGCTGACAAACGGCCGACAAACAGGTCCCATCATAATTCAACATCGTATTTGAGTTACCTGTAAACTTGAAGTTGTCAACTTGTTTGGTATCTTATAGCGGTACATCATCCAAAGAGCATTTTTGACTGTGGCGAAGTAGTTGTTTGTACGAAAAACGAACAACCGACTGGCTGGAAGCGTTTGAACTGAAACTGAGGGGAGCGTATAGCTGTTGCTATTTCTTCTATCAATGGTAAGGAATCCAAGTATGTAGAATGTGCAACAAACGGACAACTGATTTTGTACATTGAAGCTCTGAATTGTCTCCTAAATTTATCTTCTGGCCAGCGTCCAATAAAACTCTCGTTTTCATTAACTTAGGATGCATATCTCATCAAAAGAGATTTATGTGAGCTATGAAAGGTATCTACCGCTCCTTCCTATCAAGCAATAAACTTCCTAACTATTTATCTTTTAACTGGTGTTTATTCTAAGAGTATACAGGCGCCGAGAACCTTTGCATATATGGTAGAAGAGAGCATACCCCCAAAACGAGCACGATTTTGATCATTCTCGATAATACGCTTCATTGGTGGAATTACTATCGTGTTCCTCATTTATCTGAACTCCGTTAGGAACCTCTGAACTGTATTTTTGTTTAAGAACACAGATATTAGGAGATTGACATGCCGAGCGTGAGTTCGTCATATTCTTCAGGCTCGGTACCGTATTGCAGTTGTAAAGTCGTCCTTCATGCGGCTTCAGAACAAACCTCTCGCTGTGCCAAATCCGGAAAGCTCATGGATGTTATATGATAGTGCGTTAGCCACGCTTCTGAGTGGTAGTTCATTAATAGATCTGGCTCAATGTTAGAGCGTTTCCACTGTGATCTTTTTTTTGGAGGAGGTGGAATCAGGCGCTTGTTCAAGCGGGCAGTGTATGTCCGTTGATTCTGGGGGCTTGTTCCCTCAAAGGGAATTGCGGTGGAAAAATATCCGCTGACTTCGAAATTTTCGACTTGCTGGAGAAGTTTCTTCTTACGCAGCTTGTTCGCGAGCAGTTGACGGTATTTCTTTAGGAAAATGAACATCTGTACGTTTTTTGCTGATTTCGATTCGGATTCTAAAAGCAGTCCAATGTACGGGGGAGTTTTCACCATCGACACCCAACTGACCCAGAACACTGACCACTTTATACGTGGACTTATAGTAGACGGTATTTACCCTTGTGGGGAACAGCGGAGGTCTAACCCCGACTTTTGGCTCCACGGAGAGAAACAAATCCTTGCAAAAACGTCAGTCCAATGGCCGCTTCGAAGAGTTTACTACATTTACGCTATGCACGGATTTCGGATATAGGTGGCGCAGAAAGAAACGGGTTTTGATGAGGCCGCGTCTTGAGGATATTTTGTTTGTTTTTATTGTCAGTTGTTTTCTCAAACTTCTGTGAAATAACCAAATGCAATTTTCATTTCACTACGCTTATTCGATGGTTTATTTTACCTTCTTTCCTTTAGTTTGGCTCTCCAAATAGGCGGCTTACCCCGGCCACCACTTTATTATGTGATTCCATCTAGAACGCAGAGTGTGAAAATACAGTATAGTGGGGTGCATTAGCTACAAACGGAGAAGCAAAATACAGCGGCTCCACTTGCTGCAACTGTTTACTCATTAGGAATAGTGGGTGTAGAATATAGCATCCACGCATTAATGAACGACACGTGTTTGCACGACGTCTTCAGCCTTCTCTTACAAAATATGGAAATGTTATTTGATGAAACTGTATATTGGTTGATTCCGTTTACCGCTTTTACCAAGAACGAAGTTCATTGATTGGCCTGGTCTATCAGAAGAGGGTATTAATACGTTTCGGCCAAACAGTATAGGTTGACTATGATTAAAACAAAAAAGTATGTATCGCCAAGCAAGGGTCATTTAGCATATGGTCTTACACTCCCCAACAAATGATGAACCCCATTGTTTGCCTTCATTTTGTACATCCGGATGACTTTTCCCACTTCCATGGTCTAATTCACAAAAGTGTAGTATCACAGAACCAGACTAGAATTGTTCCGATAATTACAGTTTAAGCACTTACGTTTTTGGGGTTCAGTGCTCTGAGTTAGTATTGGTATCGCGATCTTGGTATCCGTGTTACTCTTTGTCGCCATTGCTTACAGTAGGATTTCCAGTAGTTGTGACGTGCGCTTTGCACAATTGCATGCTTGACCGTCGATTATGACGACGCATCGGCTGCTGACTGACAGTTTCTGTACCGAATTCAGATAGATGGCTGCAACTTTTTGGTCCTAGTAGATGTAAAAGCGAGTGCAATATTCCCCCACCGACGCATCACTCGTCACATAAGAATAGTGAAGGAAGGAAACACTTGTAGCTGTTGATCGTAAGGGGACACAATTAGCACGTATATTGCCCCTTATTCATTCTTGGCCAATAGAGAAGCACTGTCACAGGTTTTCTGGTATGCTCCAGGTGACTCAGCCCCAACATGCTTAGTAATCTGAGTTACCTTGGACGAGCCATTTGGTATCTGATCTTTCATCCGCCAGCACGTTAACCTGTGTTGCAATTCGCCCCCTTTTTTCATTTTCCCACAGGAGATCGATGGTGCAGCACTGCTGTGTCTTGAGCAGCATGATTTGATGCAGATACTGGGAATGAAACTTGGCCCTGCTGTTAAAGTTGCTGGTGCTATCCAAACCCTCCGTAGAAGCTTGATGGCCACCCCTGTATCAGAACTTCATCCGGAATACGCCGGGGCAATGGCTGCTGCAGTTTCTTGTTTCAGCAGCAATCGACCGACTGCCTCTTCGCAGGTGGATAGTCTACTCTCTGATGAGAGTGAAAGGACAGTTGCCTTTGCGCCGTCTGGTCACTCATCACAGCGAACTCCTTCCACAGGAGACGCAGTCTCGGTAGCGTGATCTACACTTGCAAACGGACTATGCATGCACGACGAATTTCTCGCAACACGTTCTTGTCATGTACTGTCATTTCCATCGCTTTTTGTGCAGTTACGTCGATGTACAGAGCTACAACTTTTCACAGGCTCATTGTCCAGGTAAACGCACTAGTAGTGCCTTTAACGTTTCGTGCCAGACACAACTAATAAAATACCCTGTCGATCTCCACAGATTACATCATATTTTCTATATCCATTACTAGTTTCCTGATCGATGAGCTTCTCGATTAACTGCTCTCCTACCTCACATGGCTCGGCAGTTTCCGTGCCTTCGAGGGATCTTTAGAGTCGTACTGTTGTTCGTCTTTCCATACTACACGTTTTTTGGTTGGAGTGCGTGCACCTGGGCAGTCAGTATTCTTGACTCTGCGTTCTTTTGGTTGCACGAGACCTTTGCTTGCTCCCACCAGCACTCTATATCCCACCTATTCTGATACTTATATTTGCTTCCCCTCCCATCTGGTTCCATTTTCTTATAGCTTTTGTGATAGATTTAGCATCCAGGCATAGTGTATTTCGCGGGTTCTACTCTTCGTTATACTGACATGCCGAACTGCCGGTGGGTTTGAATGCCGTCAGTTCTGTATTTTTTGCAGTTACGTACTATCAACTGTGTATCGACTGTTCTGTGAGTTACTCCTCACCGGAAACATGTTGAACGTGATCGACGGCTTCTTCGATCGAAACCTACGCATTCCTGCTTCTGCCTGCCTTTTCCCTGCATATTGGCAGTGGTTGAGGCCATTTGCTACTTCCCAGCCACCACTGTGTCATACTTTTATATTGATTCTCAAGTCTCGTTATTGTGGTTAAACCACTATACTGGAAATTCAATTTTGTACTGAANAACCTCCGCATTCTTGCTTCTGCCTGCCTTTTCCCTGCATATTGGCAGGGGTTGAGGCCATTTGCTACTTCCCAGCCACCACTGTGTCATACTTTTATATTGATTCTCAAGTCTCGTTATTGTGGTTAAACCACTATACTGGAAATTCAATTTTGTACTGAATTTTGTTGCTTTTGTTTCCACCTAGGATACCCGTCCGTTGCATCATCTCAGGGTTAAATTGTTTAAAGCAAGCTGCATTACTTCTGTTAGTGACTTCTTTGCCGTTGCTCCATTCTTACAAAAATATCCTAGTCAGTGAATTAAAGTGGAATAGTTGAGTTGGTTGGATCGGACGTGAAAGTCGAACTGTGTCACCATCGTAATCACCGGATATTCCACTCTCGTAAACTGTAAACTCGATGGTGACCTCCCAGAATCGTCAGCACGCCAGATGTATCAGCGAAGACCTCTGTCGATTCATGTGACCGATAAATTCCAAACTACCGATTCGGCCTCTACACTGAATCTTAGATACCGAAAGCATGACATGATGACTGCGTCAGACATCATCACCAAAAAGCACCCTGCTATGACTTAACTTGAACCTGGTTCTTGGTTTCTGTGCTCAAAATAAACCCCAAACGTTCATTGAACTTTTGAGATCTAAGCTCCACTCGGTATTTAATTCCACTGGTCTCTGCGCATTCTCGCATCTAACTGGCGGGATGAATATCAGATGGTCGGTAGTTTCCGAGCCACCAGTGATTCGGGTACCTTCAAACTGCTGGTGCACTATGTGCATATTGTTCCTGTTGGGAAGCCCGAGAAAAATACAGCGCAGTTTTGGAAGACAGTAACCAAATAGTGAATCATCAGGTTATTGGTCGAATAAAGACAATGGACGCATATCGTACTCTCTGGTTAGCCGGTCGGTACGATTAGCTTCTGCTTCCTGCTACCAATATCACGCTGTTTGGTTCATGTGGTCTTCATGATCGGTTTTTATTATACAAAGCCTCACTACACTGACTCTTCAGTTGGTTAATCAGGCTGGTGTCATTTTTCATTCAGCCTGCACTTCTTCAGTTTTGATAAGAGCACGCGCTTTGCAAAGGCTGTCAGGTTCACCTATTTGTCCAATAGTTCTTTGGTCACATATGGTTGAGAGAATAATTCATTCAATGCGACTACTCAGTGTCAACCATATGAAATATCCGAGTCTCCATTGTGTTGCCACAGCTTGAAATAGAGATGAGGCTCAACTGCCCATAGGCGATCCATCTTATAAAGACTGATTCTTTGTAAGGTGGCAATGTACGGAACAACGCACCATGAACAGACACTGACTAAACTGGAATTTTTCTGAATGCGCTGTATCCATTACTAACAAATATTGGAATTATGGACTTAAGAATCCACAAAAAAGAAAAAGTCCCCACCCATCTTGAACAGTAAAAACCTCGATATAAGTGAAATGATTTCAAGGAAGCGCCTGCTCGGCGATCTTTCTGTCTTGTGCCATATCGAAATAAAATTTACCCGGCGATAGAATCCCAGGACAACCCAAGTTTTTCATAACAAACCCGGGATTTACATAGGACAATCCAGTTCCGTCTTTCCGAGAAGAGTTTTGATTATTTCGTCTCAAACCGCTTGTAAGCCTCTGCTGCAGCCTTGTTGGGTATATCAGTGCAGCTGACTTGAAATACCCAGCATAACGGTTGACGCATCGCTAGCTTCATAGTGGGACACCAAATGCTCGTCCCAACAGGTGAAGTCGAACGAAGACAACCTTCTGACAAACAAAGCACCGGCTCATGTCCGTTCTTCTGCTGCCTTTACGACTAGAAGAGAGGGAATCGTTCACAGTCCGACAAAAAGAAGGACAAAGGAACTGCCAGGAATTGGCAGACACCTGTTGTCGTTTCTGCGTTTCATATGAGAATCATCGTGGTACCCCATTCAAAGGGGTGCCGAACACTTGTCACAATTCTCCATTCCTTGTACTCCAACATGTTACTCCAATGCGTTTTAGTATGTGCTTTGCACCTGCAAAGTGCAAAGTACTAGCAGAAAATTAGACGATTGGACCACGAAAGCTGGTCGTGGCATCAGAACTACTTGTGATGGCTGGATAGCTGCATCACGTCGGATGACAGGGTTGATGGCGGAGTGAATGCTAGTGTTGCTCAAGGTCGTCCTTATTTCCTTCGGATTAGACGCCTGTGGTATTAGCCTATCAGTGGAAGACGGTCTACAGGGCAACAGTGCGTCATGTCATAAAGTGTGGATGCAAGTGACGAATGTGAAAGGGTAACAGGAGAATATGAGATGAAAGATTGAAACGTCTCATTCGAATTCACGCCACCAACAGTTCCAGTCAGATGAGATGAATCCCAACGTATGTAAAAATTTTGGTATGGAAACACGTGTCAAAAGACCAACAACCGAAGAAAGGACGAACAATGTTGAATGCTCTTCAACGCGTGGTAAACGCTAGCACGATCAAGACTCGCACATCAGGCACAAAGTGCTCGTCATACTGGATCTGGTGTGAGAGTAAATGACAAAAATGTACATTCAACCCCATGTGCCACGCGTAAAAGTGTCATAAGCACGCAAAGAGCCCACAATGGCAAGGAAACACAAGTCACCGACTGTGACCTTAGGAAGTCCCAGTCCAATAACAGCCTTGGCGGATTGAGGAAAGCAGATCCCTCGATAAGAGATGATGATCGGTTGGTGGACCAAAAAGTCGACATCACAACCGAATGCACGTAGAGCTGAGATTATTGCGAAAAATATTCATCAGCACCATACTTCTGCTTCTTCGCATTTCACACAGTCACTCCGTGCCCATCCGAGACTATGCCGGCCTCCATTACAGTTGCTGGGCGATCTCGAACAGTGATTAGGTCAGGTTTGATGAAGGACGTTGAAGTAGATGCTCTCAACTCCTCGAAGACGATGTATCCCAGTCGACGGAGACATTTTGCGAATTCCCTTGCAACCTGATTATGACGAGCACATCTGGCGTTATGCATGATCCAGCAGGATTGCAAAATATGCACCAAACTCTCCGTTGACCACAGTTTCCACGACATAAGATCGTCTGGCCACCGTGACCATGGCGTGCGCTTCTAACTCTCGTCCTGAGCAGGTTGCATCGGAGCTGGATACCGCGAATAAATACCCGAGGAAACACGCTCTGGAAATACAATCCATCGATTAGAGAGAGACGAAGCGACCGTCAACGCTGTTATGCAGACTATCACCCCAAGCAGCCACCAGCCCTTCCTTGGTGTTTACGCATGCGCCATGGACTCGGATCGGAAGGCTGAGATTCCGAACAATTTTGCCAAATGCGGAATCGTTGACCACTGAGTAGAAAGGAGCTTTTCAATACGCGTTCTCCGCTACATCTAACCTCGTATACACTAGGAAAAGATCCAAGTAGCCCTGTCCTTACATTTCCAGTTTCGACGGTCATTGCCGGATCTTTGTCACCTTGAAGGCTAACTCGTTCACTTCCTTTATTGGTCAGGTCAACCGTAAATAAACGCAACGTCATTTTCAGAAGACTATCATCGGCTTTTTCACCCATATCCAATGCCATATTCAGAGTCTTCGCTAGATAAACACCTGTTTGCAGGTTGGTTTGCTGCTTACTTTTATTGTTACGTACTCATAAAGACTATTCTTCCCGGTAGCAGTGTTTTCCCAGGCAGCCTTTTTATGGCCTTAACGTTGTCAAAATTCGACAAAGTTGAATTATGCTAATCCAGCGGTATGCACCAATCATTTTACTCCTTGATGCCACCCCACCTCCGATTCAGTAAAACTGCGTTTAAGTCCGCGGAATGTGTGATATGATATGATAAAGAGATGCAATGACTGGTGAGACGCACACTGAACACGGTCGTGTGCAACAGCCCTACAATGATACTGAAGACGTTCTCGTGTTTGACAGTGAACGCCAGTCTGTATATGTAGTGCTCTTGGGTATACATGTAGGGACTGATTGGGGAACTGTTGACTCATAAAACCTAAGGCAATGAACAAAAGCATGGACGAGGTTAAACTGAGATGTAACAACAGATTCCAGACAAAGAGAAATGGAGTGAAATTTCGGT